ATATATATATTTATATATATATATATATATTGACAGCGAAATTGTCCAAGAGCCACGCCCAAGGAATAGAGCGCTAATGGGAGAGAGATAAAGGAGAGCAAAAGCACAGTATAGCACAATAAATTTGCGTAATCTTTATTAATGAAATAGACTCCTATTTATAGGGATGAGAGAATGTACAGTCACACACTGTACCCTTACTATATGTAGATGCGATGGGGGTTTTAGTCAATACATGAATATTAGGCCGGGAGACTTCATGGCTCCCGACTAGACAGGACCGAGACCCTGAAATTTCCTGGTCGGACACAACCGGGTGCCCGTGTAAGCCTCTCATCTGGCTTCATTTTTGGCTGGGCGGGCGTTTGTTGGGGGCCCTGTGTAAACTGTTAATTTGACTATTTGTTGAGAATTCACCATGTGCTAATTGTGCGAAAAGTTTTGGCTAGCTATTTCGGGGCCTGATGATTCGCTTTGCTCATTCGACCGGAACGGATAAAGGTGTCAGATTTATCTGCATGGGTCTTGCGCCGACAGTTTGATTTTTAAGAAGGTGATCGAATTCCATCCGTATGGAAAATGTTTTCCTCCTGATCTGTAGTAGTGGGCCAAAGAGACACAGGGTATCAGATTATCTCTGGCGGGCTCTCATGATGTCACTCGTCTTCCTTCGTCAGGCCGTGGGATATCATCGAGAGTCGTGTTAACATATTCTTGATATACATATTAAAGATCAATTCTCTTGCTCCTTGATTACGACAACTGCGATAAAGGCAATAAAATCTTAAATTTTCAAATAAGTCGGCGATATTTATGAATATTTAATGCGTCATAATTAACTACTTATTGATTTTTGTGTCAAAACTATTATAAATGAAGAAAATTAAGAAAACTTATTAACTACTTATCATTCACTCATCCCTTTGGATTGATCTCTCATCTCTTTTGTGGCTCTGAAGATGGAGGGGGGATAACTTCCCAAGTTTGCTGGTTAGGAAGCTTGTGCTTTGGTATTCCAGGCCATGAAGAAGAGGGTCAAGTCAACCTTTAAGGCCGAACGACCCGGTAAATATGTTGTGCTTGAAGTTCAGACCTTCAAACCGGTGATTGAAATAGGATCGTCATATTCAAATAACGACCACCGCGCAAAGTGTTCCTAAGATGTTGATGGGGATTTTCTTGTGAAGAAACGCCGCATGCTGGGAAAGATTTATCCTGATGATGAGCAGACGAAACAAATGATCCATCCTTCAGTTTTGCTTGAGCTAAGGGTCGGGCGGGATCAAGGACCTACCTTTACGCTGATACTTCTGGAGTCTAGTTTCTGATGGCCAAGGGGATGCCCTCGACTTTCACCCGACAGATACTTCCCAAATAATCTCCTCTTCCGCAGATGTCGCAGGAGGATGGGGAGGGAGCCTACTCTTTCAGCACCTCTAACATGAATCGGATGACGAGCCCCTCTTTGGACGAGGGTATGAAAACTCCACTTCATATTGATCGTAACGCTGCCTGACCCGATGTCGCAGTGGACTAGGGGTCTCTCAAAGGTTCCAGAAAATTTGGCGAACTGCACGGGGATGAATTGATATGCCCGATGGTTGACCTGGCGGGAGTGACAGGCGTGTCAGGATCGTCCAACTTGGCTGAGCTTCGTCTTCATGAGGCCGAGGCTTCGTCGGGTCAAGAAACAGGTCATCTTCAGCTCTGGAATGCGTGCTAGATAGGTTGGAGGAGGATTTAGCCGTGGTCCGAACTCGTGAGGTCACTCTTCTGGAGCAACTAAAGTCTCCAAGGGCCGAGTTGGTCGTCATCCGTGAGAAAGTTTCGATCTCCTGGCTATATTCAAAGATGAATAGAGTAGATAAGGTCAAGATTGGAAGAGAGTTAATGTATAAACGGTTGTCTCAATTGTTGTATGTCCGAGCTGAGGCGACGAATGATAGTTTTTGTGAAATTTCTCCTTTCTAACAAAGTTGTCTTTAATAGACTAATTTTCTTCTCTGTCAAATGGTTGTAATAGGACAAAAAAGGTGTAAATATTTTTTTTGTTAATATATTCGTATATGCATATTTAATTTTTGATTTCTTGGTATGCTTGTTAGATTTGACTCTTTCCTCTTGTTAGATTTGTCTCTTTCCCACGCTTTAACGTGGCGAAAATACTTTACTTGCCTTATGTCGCTTCGACTTCTTTAATGCATTATAAGTTTGCGAATCACTTGATTAATATATAATCAGTTTTCTTCTTTCTATGTGTGACCCCTCTCCTCATCATTCATGGCTTCCAATTACTCCTCAAACCTCTTCGGCGTGAACGAGGCTGTGGTTGTGTCAGTTGTTTCAGCGGGGCAGGTAGCGAGTTTGGTAGTCATTTATCTTCTGGTCAGATACCTGTCTTCGATCAGCCGCGGAAGGTGAGAAATTGGTGGGCAACGTCGGCGATAGTTTGTTGGTGATGTTGACTAGTTTCGATATGGCCTGAGGCTGCCATTTTGCAGTGAGATGAGATCTATCTTCAATAGCTCAATGTCATCCCCGGGTAGGCGACCGAATTCTGTCGCAATAGTCATAGCTTTTTTCATCTTCCTCCAACGAGTGGAGATACAATGGTCTATCGAGCTCTTCTCCAATTTCTTTGGGTTCAAAGTGGATAGAGATGGTTACGCCGTTTTCTCTCCCGGCCCCAAAATCTAAGTGATAGTGGTCGAAAGTAAGGTTAAAGATTAGTGATTGGAGTTTGTAATTGCTTTGCACTGGAGGGGCTGGGGGATTTCCATTCGGCCCATGACCAAGGGGGTGAATAGATTAAAGCTTTTGTTAGAACACGTCCAACGCTATGCTGATATGATTGAGGGACATGAACTGTTAGTGTTCTAGTTTATTGAGCGGGACGCCATGGTTCGAGGTTTTCAGCGACATGGCTGAGAGGCCGTGGTATGAATCTGATGTCAGTGAGAAGAAGAGGATGAAGACGTCGGCATCAAAGGTCTCTGATAAGAAACTTAGGGTGAAGAAGCCTGTAGTGACCGATTGGAGCGGGTGCAGGGACTTCTGGCACGTTCTGGGAGACTTCATCTATATCGTCGGAGTCCTAGGAGTCGAACTCCGTGGAAGAAGCTTCCCCGGGCGGACTACCATCTGAGAGGAAGGAGGAGATAAGTCTCTTACCTTGACCCTTAGGAAAGAGATGCCGCAACACGAGTCTCCCCTACATGCTGTATCCGCTTCTGAGGGTAATGAAGGTTCCGGAGGCGGGCTGATCGAGACCGAAAGGAAAAAAGACCTATTGATGGAGGTTCAACATCGTCTCCCCTTTCCTGTCAGAAAAAAGGGTCACTCCCAGGATAGATAGTCTGGATGGACGTCGAGAGCAATGTGTGCGGGAGTTTAGATGGCCGATACCTAATGGCAGACACCCAGAGAGAATAGTTCACCTGTCTTCACCTAGGGAGGCACCATTTCTTCCTAGCTTCCTAACAGAAGTCATGTGTCCAATAGCCTTGACTCCATGTTGGCGGGCATGGGCTACGCCGATCTGTGTAAGACCTCTGACTGGTGCAACGCTCTGGCCTTGTCCATTTCTCAATACCAAGTAAAAGCCTTGTTTCATGAGGAATAGAAGAGGAAGGCCACCATCCACCAGTTTGATAGTGGCCACGGTGGTGGAGGATAAGAGAAGCTTCTTCACCTGTGGAAGAAACTGAGAGATTTGACTTAGGCGTGGGAGGCAATGGCCTAAGACTATGAGCAGACCATTGCCGCATTGATGACAAAACATAAGGAACTAGAGGAAAAAATGGTCGACATGATCTCCAAAGGAGATCACGTGGTGGCACTCTCTGAACAGATTCAAGTCCGCATAGCTATGGCGGCGGAGCGCTTTATAAAGGGAGGAATGGTTGAGCTCAAGTGGGCGGATATGGGCTAACTTGCATTTTTTTTTTGTCGACCTTGAGGATAAAGATGATGGGGCAAATTAGCTTGGTGGTGGCGAAGCGGGAAGCTGTGACATACCTATAACCACCTAGGTCTCATAAATGCATTGTATACATATTTTCTCTTTTCCTTTGTTTGTAAAGAAACCTTGCAAATGTTAGCACCGTTTGACCATGCTTGGCTGGCGGACATGGGAGAATTTTGTATATCTTTTGAAGAAATAATAGATGTCTTTCCCCTATTTTCTTAACTTCCTTTTTTTAATTTGCTTTTTTTTCGGTCTTTTGCAAAGTGCTTACCTTTTGATAGCTAGCTTGTGCTTGTATGACCCCGTGAGATTGTTTATATTTCTTCCCTTGTTGGTTGTTCGAATTTGGGCTAAGGATTTTATCTATATATAAGTGAGTTATTTGTGTAAGTTGAGTTTGGTCGAGCGGCCTAAATGACTCGACAATTTAATCTAGCTTTTGGACCTAGTTAGTGCGGACATGTTGACATAGGTGGTTACTTTCTGATTTTGCTTTCAGTCGTGCAATTTTGACGCACGGTTAGCAGTCTTTATTCTCGGGCTGGCGCCATGACTTACCTTTCTTCGATTTCATGCTTAGCCGAGTGGTCTTGCCGCCATGATCGACAGTCTTCACTTTCCAACAAGGCTGGATGATCTCGGCTCCGAGACTGCCGTTCTTCAATTTTATGCTAAGTCGGGCGGTCTTTACGCCATGGCTGATAGTCTTCACTTTTGAACAAGGCTAGACATGTTCTTGTCGCGGTCTTCCGTTCTTCAATTTCATGCTTTATCGGGCCGTCTAAGTGCCAAGACTAGCAGTCTTCACTTTCGGACGAGGCCAGACAATCTTGTTGTCGCGGCTTGCTGTTCTTTGATTTCACGCTCAACTGAGCATTATTAGGGCCACAACTGGCAGTCTTTACTTTTGAACAAAGCCGGGCAATCTTGGCGTCCTGACTTTCCTTTCTTCGATTTCATGCTTAGCCTGGCAGTCTTAGTACCACAACTGACAATCTTCACTTTCGAACAACGCCAGGCAATCTTGGCGTCGTGGCCTGCCATTTCGATTTCATGCTCAGTCTGGCGGTCCCTTGGTTGGCAATCTTAATTTTCTGACAGGGCCAAGCAATCTTGGCACTGTGGCCTGTCGTTTTTCCGAGCTTCAAGTTGACGTTTTGGTCGTTTTTTGGTTCTTCAAGTTCCTCGAGTGTTTTTCTAATCTAAAAATTTTGGGTCTTCAACTAGTAAGGCATTAGTTAATTTAATACTCATTTTATAGCTAGAGAAAATTTTGAATTGCGAACAAAGATATGAGAGTAAATATTTTTGTTTCGATGTTTTGGTACAAAACAAAGAAATGATGAGTTAATGGAAAAAATTTCTTGAGGTCTTCTACGCTCCAGGTCCTATGGCTCTCATTCCCTGCGTAGGTCTTCAGTTTTTATGCTTCGAGTTCTGCCTGACAGTCGGTGATGTAGGGTTCGATCTATGTTTTGTCCAATTTTCCAACTGTCCGCCTTCGTGTTGTAGGGTCAACCTTCTTCAGTACCAGGTCTCCGGGAGAGCATTATCCTGGACGTGTCAGTTGTAGTACCGAGCTGCGCTCTAGCACAAGCATTGTTTGCTCATCATTTGCTTCCGTGTGAGAGCATGAACGATGTTTGGCTAGTTGCAGTTAATGGAGTCGTGCAGACGACCCACAAAACGGACGGAAGGACATCCACCCAACTGCCTTTCGCCCCTTCTACTTTCTTTCTCAACAGATCGAGAATGATTTTGTCTGTTGCCTCGACCTGGCCATTAGTCCAAGGATGATGGACTGAGACGAATTTGAGGCTTATTCTCTGATTTTGGCATAAACTCCAGACTTCTCTTTCTGTGAATTGCGTCTCGTTATCCGTGATGATCATCAACAATAGATCATAACAACAGATCAAGTCGGTGCAGATGAAGTTCTGGACGACGTCCACGGGTGAGCTTTTGCTTCAATCCACTTCAAAAATTAGCTACTGATACCAGGAGGAAGCGTCGTTGTCTCTCAGGTCGAAATGGTCCTAGAATATGCAAACACCAGCTGGCGAAAGACCATGGGCTGGTGATTGGTTGATGTTTGTGGGCCGGCTGATGTTGCAATTGACCGTACTTCTGGCACTGTTCACATCTCCTGAAGAATGCTTTGACATTCTTTAGCAATGTCCACCAAAAGTACCCCTGTCGTTAGACTCAATGAGCCAATATCTTCTTTCTCGAGTGGCTCCCACACTCCTCGGAGTGAACTTCCCGAAGGATGTCTTCTACTTTGCTTTTCCTTACGAACCTTATGTATAATGACGTTGTGGATTTTTGGAAGAGCATCCTTTCAATTAGCAAATGTTGTGCAGCTTTAAATTTAAATCTTCTAGGGCTCGCAACCTCCTCTACAATGTCTCTTGTTTCTAAATACTTGATGTAGGGATCTACCTAGCTCTTAGCCTCTCCATCTTCCACCACCATTGTTTCAATCGCTTCGATAACTGGTTGGTTGAGTATCTGTGGTGTTCAATTCCTCAGGTGAAAACATTTTCAGGAGTTCTGCTCTAGAGACGTGAAGGGAGAAAAGATTCTCTGACTATCGTGGTGTTTCGGTGCATCGAAGTCGTTGCTTCTCCACTTGCACGGATCCTGTCTTGGTGCTGCGAGTCATTGACCCTCTCAAGGCCATTGTTTAGTCTTTTGCCGTTGTGCGCCGTTGCGACCTCATACTGTGGGTTCTGTTCCCAACGGACTAGACCTTCTAGGGCTGCGACAACCCTTAGGACCTCTACGATCTGACCCAACACTTGGTACTCGATCTGCATTCTCTTCTGATGCATCCCTCTCTGCGTGTATTCTTCTGTCTTCTTGTGTGAGCTCTACGTCATCTATTTTTCTCTAGCTACTCTCTTATCTTTGCGATTATTGTGCTCCTCTTCTTGTCGACGGTATGACTCCACGCTCATCACACCTTTTAGGATGTTGAACCCGAAATTGTCTGGGATACACGCCAAATGAATAGAGCGCTAAGGGGGGAGAGAGAGAGAGAGAGAGAGAGAGAGAGAGAGAGAGAGCAAAGAGAGCAAAAGCACAATATATAAGAATAAATTTGCGTAACATTTATTCATGAAATAGATCCTTATTTATAATGATGAGAGAATGCACAATTACACGTTGTTGTACCCCTAGTATACTTATATACGACGGGGGTATTTTAGTCATTACAAGTTTATTAGGTTAGCAACCTTCAAGGCTCCCGGCCGAACGGAGCGGGGACCTTAAAAGTTTCCGACTGAGTAGAACCTGAACCCTAGTAAATTGTCTGGTTGGACAGAGGCGACTGCCTGTGTTAGCTCCTGCCTGGCTTCATTTTTGTCCTGGTGCACATTTGCTGGGGACCTGGTGTAAAGTGCCAATTCGAATATTTATTCATTTTTGTTAGTAATAGAAATCCAAATCCTGTATTTGTCAGCCATTTTGAAGCCGAAATTAATATTTTCCTTGTTTTTTTGCCTTCTTATTCATTTGCTAACAATCTATATTCAATTTATTTTACAGCAATGCAGAGCCCTGGTGAAGGCATATGACATGAACCCATTTGTTCACTCCCCTGTTTATTGCTTCTGGATTCCACTGTCGTTGGCCTACACAATTTACAGAACATCCGCTCATGTTAAATAAACATCATTTATAGCTTCGCATGAGTTCAAGAGTCTGAATGATCACAAAGAAAAAGCTTGCTTCATAGTTGAGTTTATCCACCTTTTGGTCTCACTTGGAAGAAAAGCACATCTTGTTTTCCGAGGGTTACGCATTTGAAAACCCCTGATCTGAAAATATGACTTTGTTATTGAAACACCAACATCAAAGCAGAAGAGGTCAGGTTCTCACTATTTACATATTGATGTGATTTTATTGTGAAAATAAGATCCTTTCTATACAGAAAAAGTTTTTTTGCATGTAGTGTTGTAAGCTGTTTTGAATCTATTAATAGGGCATTTACATGCATCCCACCCAATTCCTATGTATTTACATATCAATTACTTGAACTTTATTTCTTACATTTATGCTACCCAAATCATTCATATCACATCAAAAAGACAGTGGAAATAAAAAAATGATGATTTTATCTTACTCATTTTAATGTTAAAATAAAGTTGTAATATCTGATGGAGTTTGAAGATATTTATGGAATGTAGGAGTTACTATTAATTTCTAGCCAAATTTGTTTGAAATTTTGATTCAGCATGTTTTATATGTATCTTCAATTTTCAAGAAATAAAATGGTCGCATGGCCCGGAGATCTCAGGTGACAAAATTGTCATGTTGATTTGGATGATTTATTTGTTAAACCACTTCATTAAAATACTTTTATAATGTCTCGTTTGTTATAAGCAGTCATTAGTGGGCACCCAATTTCAGGTGACAAAATTGTCATGTTTATTTGGATGATTTATTTGTTAAACCAATTCATTAAAATACTTTTATATTGTTTCGTTTGTTATAAGCAGTCATTAGTGGGCACCCAATTGATAGGTTTGTGCCCATTAGTTTGGTACGCTCAAATTAGTACTTGCTATCGCTAGTGTGAAAAAAAAAATTGGCTTAAGGTAAGCTTAAATGTATAATTAATCAAATTTATTTACAATATAAAAAAATAAATTTACTTTACATGCGAAATAAAAGTTCACAAATCCAAGATAATATGATACTAAAATTTAGCTAGGTGATGAATCTTTTTTGGGGTAAAGCTCATTTACTCGTTTAATTATACCAAATATAACTTAGAAAGCACTAATTTCACTTACATTTTTAAAATATAAATAATATCATTGTATTTTACAAAATTTAATAACCTTTATAAATCTCGAAATATAATATTATTTTGAATGATTTACATACATACCACTCAGTTACTATGTATTTACTTATCTACCACCTAAATTTATATATATATATATATATATATGTATTTCATTTAATCAATACATTAAAAAGTGTATTTCAGTTTTTACAGGTTAAAATATTAGTATTTTTTATGTGAAAGTTAAAGTTTGGGTGGCATAAATGTAAAAAGCCAAGTTTAGGTGTCAGATAGGAACCAGCATTTTTTTAAGGTGAGCAAACATATCATAAAATTAAATTAATAAAAAAATAGCATATAATTTAAAATGAAGTCTTGTATTTTATTAGCATTGATAAATTGAACAATATTACAAGCATTAAATATATTTTGTATTTTCTGGAAAATTAAAAAATAACTTCATATATAAATGTGAAACTTCCCGTTAAATATAATTCAATCAAAGTACAAGTTGTCGTGAAACTCACACGAATTACAAAAAAATTGTTAAAAGTTATAATAAATAAATATATGGAAAGTAATTAATAAATAATTTTACACCTTCAAGCGGACTATAATTTTACCTCCTATTTTTTATTTTCTATTTTACTTATATATATATATATATGTGTGTGTGTGTGTGTGTGTGTGTGTGTGTGTGTGTTTAATACAAATTTATATTAGTTGTGTGCAAAAGTAAAGTTTTGTCATTTTTAAAATAAAGGGGCGTTCACATACAATTACCACCCAATTCTTATTTAAATACATATCTAACAAAGGAGCTTTAATTTTTACATTTATACCACACACTTTTCATTTTCTTGAGACCATTATTTTTATTTTTAAAATGTGAAAAATATTTTTATGCATAGGTAAGTTGGATAGTATGTAAAAATTGAAGTATAGGTTTTAGACATGTAAATACATAAGAATTGAGAGGTATGTATGTAAAATTTTAAAAAATAACATAAGGGCAGCCGCGTTCTCTTTCTTCACAAGGAGAACATGGTCCGTTTGGAGCGGCTTAATTGGCGCGACACGTTTTGAAAATATCGGGAGAAGCGTTTGGAAATGGCAGCATTTTCTCTCGTGTTTGTTCTGACCTTCGCTGTTAGCCTCACGTGTTTCTTCTGCCCTCATCCCTGTTGATTGCCTCTCTCGATTGCTCCGCTCTTGATTACTCCTCTCGCGCCTCTCTACAGTGACAGCGGGTTGCTTTTCTCTTTTCCTTTTTCCCTCCGATCTCTGGTGGCAACTGGTTGCCTCTCTACTCTCCCTCTTCCCTCAGATCTTCGGCTCTTTCTATTTTTAGTGCGATCTCCGTTCCCCTATGGTATCGCATATTATTTTTTCCGTAGGAATGACTCTCTTTGCTATTTCTGGCTTTCTCATTTGTAGTTTGAAGTGAGAATTTGGATTTTTACCTTTGAAGTTTGACGAGAGTTTGAGAAATGGCTGAAAGAGGATGCTTGATTTGTTGCTAGCAATGTTTTGAGTGCCCTGTATGTGGTAACGTAAAAGTGAAAAAATATGAAATGGGGCTTCATGTTTTCCTTTGATATTTGAGTGAAAGTTTGAGAAATGGCTGAAAGAGGGTGCTTAATTTGTTGCTAGCAATGTTTCAGGTGCCCTTTACATGTTATCCTAAAAATGAAAAATATGAAATGGGACTTTATATTTACCTTTGATGTTTGAGTGAGAGTTTGAGAAATGGATGAAAGAGGGTGCTTGATTTGTTGCTGGCAATGTTTTCGGTGTCTTGTATGTAGAATGTTAAAAATGAAAAATATGGAAAGACGTTTTATCTTAACCTTTGGTGTTTGAGTTAGAATTTGAGAAATGGTTGAAAGAGTGTGCTTGATTTGTTTTTAGCAATGTTTCGAGTGCTCTGCATGTGATATCCTAAAAAAGAAAATTATGAAATGGGGCTTTATCCTTACCTTTAATATTTGAGTGAGAGTTTGAAAAATGGCTTAAAGAGGGTGCCTGATTTGTTGTTAGCAATGTTTTGGTTTCCTTGAATGTAACTGCATCAAATGAAAAATATTGGGTTTGGGTTTTATCTTTACCTTTGATATTTGGTGATTGTGTATGTTGGTTTATGTTTGTAGAGGTGGTTGTTGGTGTGGAGGTGGTGTGTGGCTGTGTGGAGGTGGTGGTGTTTGTATTAGAGGATGTGTTGGTGGTGGTGTTGTGGAGGTGGTAGTTGGTGTGTGGTGGTGGTAGTATTAGAGGATGTGTTGGTAGATGTGTGGAGGTGGTGGTTAGTGTGTGAATGCATTTGGGTTAGAGGATGTGTTGGCGAGTGTATAGAAATGATGGTGTTGTGGAGGTGGTGGTTGGTGTGTGGATGTGTTTGTGTGAAGGTGTTGGTGTGTGGAGGTGTGGATGTGTTGGTGTCTTCATGTGTTGGTGTGTAGAGGTGCTTGTGTGTGGAGGTGGTGACAGTGGTGAAATCTAGGTGGTGTTGTAGTGTGATGTGGAGAGGCGTTAGTGATGATAATATGACATTCATATTTTTTTTTAGTTGAGATATTGTGGCAATCCTATTTATGTTAAATAGTTTTTTTTTTTTCATGCTAGTAATATAATGATTAAGACAAAGGAGGTCGGTTCATCTACAATGTGGGATAAAGAGACAATTAATATTTTGCAACCTTTGGCAAATCGATCGACAACCTATTGCAATAAGGAAGGCTGACAAAATATTGTTAGAAAATTCAATGAAAGCACAAACAGAGAGTATGATAGAATACAATTAAAAAAAACAAGCATGATCAGCTAAAGAAGGATTATAAAATTTGGAAGGAATTGAAGCAAGAATCAATGAGCTTACGGTGGGATCCAGTAAAATGAACGATTGATGCTTCTGAGGGGTGATGCACAAAGAGACTGTTGGTGAGCATTTTTTAAATGTCCCTTAGTTTTGTCAATGTTTAATTTGTTTTTAAACCCAATAATATGTTATATGAATTTACAGGTGGTGCATGTTGCAAAAAAATTAAAATACAGTGGAATAGATCTTGAGTTGAAGGAGAAGTTGGATCATATGTTTTGAGGTGTCGTGACAACGAGCAACAATGCTTGTGCCCCAGTGAGACCGGGTTTGGTGACATCCCTATAAATTTGAGAGCTGAACAAAAAGATGATTTCATTGAAGGACCAAGCCCAGACCTCCATGAAGTTGAGTCCATGAGCTGTTCAAAGCGCCCCTGAGTTGAAAAGAAAAAGAAAAAGGGAGTTGCTTTCCTTAAAAGTCATATCTCACAGTCGGTGGTTTCATGCACCAATGACCTCGACCCATCACAAGTAACTTTTGTCCAGCAGATTATGTGAATTCTGAATGCAACTCCAAAATTTTTCAATGACATGCCGTTGTATTTATTCTCTATGAAGTTGCTAGAAGATTCAACCTGAAGAGAGTTATTTTAATTAGATTCTTGTCGAAAATTTCTATTTATTTATGGTTATTCATGATGATTTGGATATTATGTTGCTTTGAACATGCAACTTTACTTGAGTGTTTTTCATTCCTCATTATGTTTTCTATTTACTTATGTAATGTTATTTGGTTATGTCGGTTTTGTTTGTAACTTTATATGATTGTAGTTAATTTATTGATTCTTATGTGTTAGTGACACCTTAAAATAAGTTATTTATATATATACATTTTATGCTCATTTTTAAGGATATTTCGCTCTAATGAAAGATATTTTGTGTGTTTTTTATTTTATGTAGAAAAAACGAAGTTTAAGAGAAAAAAGAGCAAAAATGGATCAAATTAGTGCAAATAGATAGGGAGATGAGTTTTGATGGGTGTAAATTGATGATTCTAGGGTGACAAACTAAAACCTTAATCAATTTGATCTAGAGTTTGAAACCTAAAGACCAGTTAGTCCTATAAAGAGGGCATAGTGAGTAATCTAGAGGTGAGAAGCTAGAACCTATCTAGCATAATTGGAGAGTTAGGAACTTAATTTTAGATTAGCCAAAGTTCGTTAAGTACCCGGGAGAGGGTAAATAATAGGATTGCTCCTATTTGACACAAAACTACATTTTAACCTTTAAACATTTGATTCTTATACTGATTATGCTTTCTTTGCAAGTGGAAAGAACTTTCACATAATTTGAACTCTTCTTAAAACAAAAAAGTTTAGAAATACCTCATTTTCCTTAAAGCTA